CTTCGGCCAGCTCCGACGGCTCACGCCAAGACCACACGAGACTCCGACATTAGGCTGAGACAATGCAGGCAGAAGGCGCCGTGCGAGATGAGATGCGAAGATGCCTTTGGGTCAGCGTGAGATGGGGGAAACGCTGGCGGAAAAAAAAAATACCAAGGGGACTGGGGAGCCGGCCTTTCATCCTGCGTCACCGGAGGAGAACCAGGCAGGCGAGGCGCAGCAGAGACAGGAGGCCAAATCCCTACCTGCGCCCCGGAGGCAGTGGAAGGAGAGGTGAGCGAGAACGCTGGGAAGTCGCCTGCCGTCCAGAGTTAACGTCAACCTCCGTGCCACGCCGCTCGGGGTTTGTTGAGCATCTACTGCGTCCGGCGCTAGCCCGCGCGCTGGGAATACGGCAGGAAAGGAAACTGATTGAAAAACACACAAGCATGATGTTCTAAGGCGAAGGGCGAGATAGAGGACGCTCACTGCTATAAGCGCCTTATCCCGAGTGAAAGGAGGTGGTGAGAGGTCGACGGCGCAGGACCGGGCAGAGGGCGCGCAAGGGCTCGCGAGGCGCCGCGGGGCCCGGCCGGGCTGCGGGGCGGCTGCTGCGGCCCGGGCGTGCCCGGCGGCGGCGGTTCGCGGGGTTCACGCAGCAACGGGGTGAGCCGCGGGCCCCGCCGCCAGCCGAGCGCAGGCCCGGGCTCGGCTCCCTGGCCCAGCGCCTTTCGCTCGGGCGACCAGCGTGCCGCCGACGCCCTCGCTCGTCCTCGGCTGAGACGCGGCCCCAACTTCCCTGGAAGACCCGAACCCGACACCGCGCGTCTCAGGAACGGGGCGGGAGCCGCTTCTGCGTGCAACCTGAGCGCATCCCTCGAAGGCTCCCCACGTCGCCTCCTCCCCTCAGCACTGCGGGGAACTTGGAGTACACTCGTCACCACACGCGAGTCTGAGCGGCGGGCTGTCCCGCGGACCCTCAAGTTGCAGACTTGTCTCGTCCTCTTTTCACGGTGGGCGCGAAAGGCCATTCTCGAGCGCCGCCAACCGGGGCCGTTCCCAATATGTTCGGAATCTGGCGCCCTCGGCAACAAGCGGGCTCCATAGCTCAGTGGTTAGAGCACTGGTCTTGTAAACCAGGGGTCGCGAGTTCGATCCTCGCTGGGGCCTCTTGCTGTCTTTTTGTGCGTGTGACACCGTTTGAGAACACACGACTCCAAAGTTACAACATGCGTTTTGTGAAAACGTTACCTCTGGCAGGGCTGAAAATTATCCCAGCTGAGGTGAAGATGACCGGCAGAAGCGACCCGGAAGGGAATATTCCAGAACGTAACAAAAAAGGGGGAAAAGAAACTTGCTGAGCCAGCAGCGGCTTTACCCGGGCTTACGGGCTTGAGCCCCGGAAATGGCGGCCACAGACTCCTCAGGCTCTCTCCCAACACCCTGCCCCCAGGCTGGTCCCCGGAATTACCACACCGACCGGAGCGGCCGGCCTCGCCGTGAACTCCGGCAGCGGCGGGGTGGGCCGCGGCGGCGCGGCGCCTGCAGTGGCGCCGCGTAGCCGGCGGGCGGCGCTGTGGCACCGCGGCCTTCCGCCTGGCCCTCCCGGCGCAGGCCCCTTGGCCAGCGTGGCCAGCGGGGCCGGCACTGCCCTGGGCGCTGTGGCTGACACGTGGCAGCGCGGGCCTCCAAGCCCAACCCGGCGCCCAGGTCCTGCCTCTCTGGGGTGGAGGCGGGGGCGACTCCCAAACATAACAGCTCCGGGCTGCTGGGGAAGCCAGAATCTGGGCTCCTCCTGTTTTAGCTTAATTCCGGAATGCCTCGTGACTCGTGGCCACAGGCGGTGCCAGGAGGGTTTTCTGCACCCGCGAAGTTTCCCGACCCGGATTTCCTTTTCCTAAGTCTCTGGGCCAGCGTTTGGTGAAGGAGATGGCGCCGAAAGAGTGCAGTGCGCGTTGCATTTCAGATGTTTGACAACCAAAACGAGAATATTAACTGCTTCGCTGGGAATTTGTTAATTGGGAACATGTTGAAGCAAAGATATTTTGGTTTTACTGAAGAAAGCAAAAGTATAATTGCAAGTAATTTTATCCTTTTCCTTTAAAAAAAAAAAAACGCGACTACTGGACATTTTTAAATTACACCTGTGGTTTTTCTTTTGCAGCTCTCCTTATCTTTCTATTGGCTGGCGCAGAATCCTGCGACCTTGCTTTCAAGTTAATTCTTAATCGGTGCCCACACCAGATGCTCCCCACCTGGGAGAGGCAGAAAGAGTCGGGTTCATCTCTGCGCATGGCAGTCAGGGAGCCTGGCGTTCATTGAGCTGACATTAAGTAGCTCCCCACCATTTTTTTTTTTTTTTTTTTTTTTTTTTTTTTGGACAGGTAGAGTTATAGACAGTGAGAGAGACAGAAAGGTCTTCCTTCCGTTGGTTCACTCCCCAAATGGCCGCCACCAGTGCCAGTTTGGAAGCCAGGAGCCAGGTGCTTCCTCCTGGTTTCCCATGCAGATGCAGGGGCCCAAACACTTGGGCCATCCTCCACTGCCTTCCTGGGCCACAGCAGAGCTGGACTGGAAGAGGAGCAACCAGGACTAGAACCCAGCACCCATGTGGGATTCTGGCACCGCAGGCGGAGGATTAACCTAGTGAGCCATGGCACCAGCCCCATCCCACCATGATCTTAATATCCAGACAACAATTTTGCTTGGAAGATTAAAAAGATTTATTTATTTGAAAGCCAGAGTTAGGCAGAGAGAAAGTAGGTCTTCCATCCGATGGTTCACTCCCCAATTGGCCGCAATGGCCAGAGCTGCGCTGATCCGGAGCCAGGAGTTTCTTCCGGGTCTCCCATGTGGGTGCAGGGGCCAAAGGGCTTGCACCATCCTCTAGTGCTTTCCCAGGGCATAGCAGAGCTGGATCGGAAGTGGAGCAGCCAGATCTTGAACCAGCAGTCATATGGGATGCCAGTGCTACACGTCAGGGCGTTAACCCACTGCGCCACAGCACCAGCCCCATGGACTTTTCTGTGCCGTGGAGACACACGCCCTTCTGTCGTGTGGATGTCTGCTGCCACGAGGCAAAGTGCAACCATGGCCCCACAGATGCAAGACGGAACACCTGCCCACCGCGATTGCGAAGGGGCCAGCCCCTCAGGAACCGCAATCGCCTTTTTGCAAAGCCGTTTCAAGTCTATCTTCCTACTGGGACTCCTTCCTCTGAGGCATGTGGTCGTGAAGTGTCAGTGAGAAAGAGAAGCACCTACCCATCTCCCTCCAAATCGGGCCTCACCCACAGCTGGTCCGAGCGCAAAGAGCAGGCACGTGCACGGACTTTTCAGCACTCTTGGCCATAAGGAAGCCAGCTACATGCTGGCCTTGCTGAGCCCTGAAGATTGTTTTCTCAGTCCTAGCCCGGTCACGAAGGCTCCAGGGCATTATGGGTCATCTAAGCCCCGGTGCCACAGGGGGCGCTCTGTGGATTCCCCCAGCCTCCCAACAAGTCAAAGGCGCCCATCATTTCCCTTCTCCCATATTCAAAACCTGGCTTTAGAGTGCAGTCCCTTATTTTGATATAAGAACACCAAGCTCAGGCTGTATTTTTGCCACATGTGTCTAAAGAAAGATTAAATGGGTAAAATGAGACATTGAGTGCAGAGGTTATATCCAATGTCCCTGAACTCACCTATGATTTTTATCCATCTTTCAACAAAAGGATCCAGGGTTTAATCCTCTGGATACCTTCCTCGGAAAAGGAGCTAAAAGTGTGAAACATCAGGATTAGGTGCAGCAGCTAAGACCCTGCCTGCTGCACCTGCATCCCATATCCAGGCGCCCAGGATGGGGTCCTGTATCCACCTCCATTTCTGACTCCAGCTTCCTGCTAACACCCATCCTGGGAGGCAGCAGATGATGGCTAAAGAACTTGGGTCCCTGCCATCCACATGAGAAACCCAGATTGAGTTCCAGGGTCCTGACTTCAACCCAGCCCAGTCCCAGCTGTAGGCATCTGGGGAGTGATTAAGCAGATGGTACTCTCTCTCTCTCATCAATGTTTTGTTTTTTTTGTGTGTGTTTTTTTTTTTTTTTTTTTGAGATTTTATTTATTGGAGAGAGACGGAGACAGAAAGAGATCTTTCAGCTGCTGGTTCACTCCTCAAATGGCCTCAATGCCCAGAGCTGAGCTGATCCAAAGCCAGGAGCCAGGAGCTTCATCCAGGTCTCCCCCATTGGCAGCAGAGGCCCAAGAACTTGGGCCACCCTCCGCTGCTTTCCCAGGAATATTAGCAGGAAGCTGGATTGGAAGTCTCATCAATTTTTTTAAAAGTTATAACAACAGGGTTGCTCAGACCCTGACGAGTATGCATAGGAGCTACGAAGGCAGGCAAAGAAAGGGGGGCATCATTTGGAGGGGCAAAGGGGAAAATTAAAAGATGATCTAAAAAATGATCTTCAGAAAATGATAGAGCATTTTCTATCTTTCATAAAGACTGAATGAGAGAAAATGAACCAGAGAGTCTTGATGGATGGAGGGGAGGGGAGGGGAGATACCTAAGACAGAACCTGTTTTTATGGAAGTCTCAAAATCTGCCCGGGGAATGCCCAACCCTATCTAAAGCAGGGCAGCACATGACCTCTGAACAACCCTAACACTCCTGGCATTTTATGGTTTTGTTCCCCTTCAGCCAAATTGCCTACACACTTTTGGATGTTTTGCATGATCTGAAGAACTTCATGAAGAGAGAGATCATTTCCTCTCTTAGTTCTTAAGTCCTCTAATACCTGATTCAAAGGCCGCAATCTCATTAAAGTCCCTTGGGGGAGGCAGGTGCACAGCAGACCGAGGGCAATGGGTCAAGGCCAGCTGAATGGCTGCTGTCCTCTCACCACTGCAGCCGGTCACTCACCCTCCCAAAGCCTCTTTCTCCATCCTCTACAGCAGTTCTACAGCAGCCATAAGAAGGAAAGTTGTGAGGTTCCAAGATAAAGTATATAAAGTTGGCTGATAATAATAGACTCGATAATACAGATTTAAATTTATCATTCTATTTGCCAAGACCAAATAGTAGGTGCTAGATATACAAAATTGAGCCTGTTCTAGTTAGCTTGGTGAGCTTTGGACTGGGGCAAAGGGGACATCATTTTAGAGGAGTTTTCCACAGCAGCTGTCACTCACGGGCCTCCTCCTAGACCCCAGATGAGGTGGGACAGAGAAGTCTGGCTCCTAGGCAAGCTCTGTGAGGCAGGCTAACTTCCTAATGCCAGACAAACATCCAGGAGCTCAAAGGACAGGTGTCAGCTGCAGCCAGTGTTGATCTATCCCTTCAGGTCACAGGCATTTACAAGCCATCATGGAGGCATCCCAAGGAACTCCAAGCAGGTTTCTAGATGGGTAGACGCAGTAGTAGTAACCCAGGGACACTAGCAACGTGGGACACGGCCTGCCTGCAGAAGCACTGGAAACGGACAAAGCACACTTGTCGTTCAGCAGGGAGCAAGATTTCCCAGAGAGGACAACCAGAGGGACCTTGGACAAGCCCCTGCCTCCACCCCCAGCTTCCCACATTTCTAGGGTCCAGTTTGAGCAGTGGCTTCCATGAGGCAAGGTGGAGTTCTCCTCTCCGCCATGGCCCCACCAGCCACGGTCACCAAAAGGTCAAGGGAAACTGCCTCCCCCCGCCGGTCCCCGCCGTGAAGACGGCCTCATCCTGCCACTGCGGGCGGCGGTCAGGCTCTGCTTCCTCAGCCGCTGGGGGGCTGGGGACCACACTCTGGCTTTCTTCTTTCTACCAGGCCCTCGCACCCTTGTCTTGCTGTCTGTGGAAGGAGCCGGCTTCCTGGGCGAGGTCCGGTCTGCGCTGGAGGCTAAGGTCACGTTGGATGCGCTTCTGGCAGCTCCCCCGGATTGCTCCTTTAGCAAGTCCAAGACTGTCTCTGGGAAACAAGCATTTGCTTTGTGAGATACAAGTCCTGGAAAGTAGCTAGAAGGGCAGCACCACCCGGGACACCCATAACTGCATGACGGTTTTAACATAAATGCTTCTGGTTAACGTGTTTTTAATTCCTTGACCTGGCCTTCGCCTATTTAAATACACTGCTCTCTGGGTAGGGTCACTCCAGACACCTGGCTCTGGCATGGTTCCCTTCAGCTAGCGTCTTCCTCTGCGTCTCTCCTGACTCCCCACCCTCCCTGAGGAAGGCTCCCTCATCCTAGGGGCCCTCTCAGTGCCCTGGCCATCCTTCTAAGGCAGAGCCTCAGGGCTCAATGTATCTATTTCCTGCACCACCCCCACTTCCTATCTGATCCTGGACTTGTACAGATCAGAGAACTCAGCGTTCACTGCTTGTAGCCCAGTGCCTGCCACAAAGTAAGTACTGAATGAATGACGCACGAATGATTAACTGAATGAATGGACAGATGAATGAATGACTAGAGGTCAACAGGTCCCGGTAGAAGCAGGCGTCCCTCCCACTCACTCTGGGAGTCAGAGGGACGTAGACAGACTGAGCCACAAGGAACAAGCCTCATCTAAACGTTATCCCCTAAGGAGGAAGCTAAGCCCCTCCATGCTGGGGATTGGAGTGAGTTTGCTAAGGGTACTGCTTGTGGTCCGAGCAGGCTAAGCCCCGAGTTGAAGACCCAAAGACAGACTCACTGGCAAGTGGCCGGAACGGGATCCGCTTACTCTTGGTCTTCACAGGCACGGGTTTGTATCTGCACTTGCCCGGGGGTGCACGCCTGAAAAATGCATACAGAAAGGGTGAGGTCACAAGACTCAGAAGATGCCATCAGGAAACGCAGATCACCAGGAGGCACACATTTGCAGCCCTCATCCACGGGCATGGGGTGCATAGTAGGAAATCTGCTATGAGCTCAGACGAAGAGGAGAAAGGGCATGGACATCACAGGGCGGGCACTTGAGACCCCTGGGAGACTGTGGGGGTTAGGAACATGGGCATGGTAACAGAACCGGGTCCAAAACCCAGTGCCCAGGGGCAAGGAAACCTTGTTCAATTTCTGCATCTATGAAATGCAAAAAATATAATAGTACCCATCTTGCATGGGAGACCCAGAAGAAGCTCCTGGCTCCTGGCTTCGGATTAGCTTAGCTCTGGCCATTGCAGCCATCTGTGGAGTGAACCAGTGTCTCTCCCTCTCTCTGTAACTCTACCTCTCAAATAAATAAATAAAATATTAAAAAAGAAAAAACAGGGGGCGGCGCTGTGGCGCAGTGAGTTAAAGCCCCAGCCTGCAGCGCCAGCATCCCATATGGGCACCGGTTCAAGTCCTGGCTGCTCTTCTTCCCATCCAGCTCTCTGCTATGGCCTGGGAAAGCAGTAGACTGCACCCGCATGGGAGACCTGGAAGAAGCTCCTGGCTTCGGATCAACTCAGCTCCGGCCGTTGCAGTCATTTGGGGTATGAACCAGCAGAATGGAAGACCTCTCTCTCTATGGCTCTACCTCTTTCTATAACTCTGTCTTTAAAATAAATTAAAAAAAAAAAAAAACCAGCAGCAGCCTCTCTGCCTAGCAGCACACTCAGTCTTAAACTGCTTGTCCCCTGGATGGCTTTTCCGAGATACTAGGCGCTCTGGTGACTGCAAGCACTCCTGCTGGCCAGAGTAGAGCTGGGACTTCCCGCCAGGCCTCACGGTCCGCTCTGCCTTCTCCAACTCTAAGTCTCATTCCCACACCCCAGGGGAAGAAAAGAAGAAACTGTACTCATTTATCAAACCTTACAGGGTGCTTAGACCCTGCCCTAAATGCTTCTCAGTATGAACTCAGGGAATCATCGTTTACCTCCCTATGAAGTAGAGACTACCGTCACGCCCACTCTGCATCAGGAAAGTGAGGCACACAAAGGCTGAGAAACAGGCCTAAGATCAGTGACAAAGCTGAGATGCAAAAACGGGCTCCAGGGGCTGCCTCTGAAGGACCGACAGGAGGAAAAGAGAGGCGGGAGGAATTGATCCATCCGCCAGCCAACTGCCCCTCCGAACACGGGCACCGTGTGTTAGTGCGAACACAGGCTGAGTAAGCGAGCAGGGTGGAACCTGGTTTACTGCTACAGAAGCTTTGAAGCACCTGCGTGATTTGATGCACTTACAGCTGATGTGACTGATCTACCAAGAGAGCGAGTTCCTGCCTGGGAACCCTCTCACTGCTTCTACCTTGTCAGTCGTTTGACTCTGTCGGACTTCAGAGTCCTTATGCATGGATTGTGATGTCAAACCTGCATGGTGGGGATTCGGTCCACAGTGAGCATTATATACACAGTACTCAGCACGGTGCCGGGGGAGACAGTGCTAGCTCAAGGGACGCAACTTAGAAAGGTGAGTGAGTAAGTGATGGAAGCAAGGGTGTCGTGCATGTGGTACAGGTTTTCCAGCTGCCTCTCCTGCTGTTCATGTGAAAGAGGGGCGCTCAGCTATCCCCAAACCAGTCAGGAAACTGTCAGAGGAAAGATGAATGGCTTCACACGGAAGCCATTTAGAAGAGCAGGCAGAATTCCCCACGCAGGGGTTGTCAGCCACCTGAAGCACTCTAAGTGCCTGGCTGTGCTCCGTCCCCGGGGCCGTGTGGGATATGCAGAGGCAAAGCCAGGAGTGGAGACAGCTCTAGGCATCGGGCTCCACTATCAGCTGAGCCTGCCCAGCACGGCCTCCAAGACTGAGCGTCTTCCAGGAACTTCCGACAGTGCACCAACTGAGCCTTGTGGCCAGATGGAAGCTGAGCTGGGCCTGAGTCTGCAGCCCAGAGCCCTGGTCAGCGTTTGGACCTATTTACCTAATGTCAACTGGACCCCAACCCAGCTATAGGAAGCTTAAGGCTCAGAGGGACGTTTCCCTCTGCAGGTCTGTCAGTGAGTTCATTCACAGGCAGACTTTCTTGGTTTGGACAACAATCCTGAAACAAAGTTCAAGCTCTGCCTAGACTCCTAGGGTTGGATAAATGGTACCACCCTCCCAGGGGCAGACCACACACAGCAGCTCACAAACCGCAACTTGCATCCTGGCCTTGGGTTGCTCTGTTGGAGGATGGTCAGCCCCTGAGAGAGGAGGGCCCGGAAGCAGAAGTAAGCAGCTTGGCATCCATCGAGTGCATGGATACTCCAGAGAGGCCAGGTGGTGAGGCTGAGACAGCCCAGCCAGGAGACAGGGCAGCAATACTTACTCAGGTGTTCAGAGATGTATACCTGCTGTCAGATGATTCCAGGCAGAAACTTCCAGAAGCATATATTTTTTAAAAAGTAGGAGCCACATGTAGCTGGCAAAGCTGCTTTCTGCAGTGCCAGCATCCCCTATGGGTGCCAGTTTGAGACCCGGCTGCTCCACTTCCAATCCAGCTCTCTGCTATGGCCTGGGAAAGCAATAGAAAATGGCCCACGTCCTTGGGCCCCTGCACCTGTATGGGAAATCCAGAAGAAGCTCCTGTCTCCTGGCTTTGTATTAGTGCAGCTCCAGCCATTGTGGCCATCTGAGGAGTGAACTGGCAGATGGAAGACCTCTCTCTCTCTCTCTGCCTCTCTGTAACTCTGCCTTTCAAATAAATAAATAAATAAATCTTTTAAAAAAAAAAAAAAAAAAAAAAAAGGTCTAGGCTGGTCATCCTGAGGCTCCAGATCGTATTCCCCAGTCCTTATAAGCACATTGTTCCGCACATTTATTGAAACCACTTTTCATCTGCATTGGCAGGGGTGGGCAACTTCCTGCCCACGGGCAAAACAAGGCCCTAAAAATCATCTGGTCTGGTCCTGCTAAGGCAACAAATCTACAGTAGGCTACTTTTTAAGTTGATCATTTTGGGGGCTGGTGCTGTGGGCTAGTGGGTAAAGCTGCAGCCTGCAGTGCCTCCATCCCATATGGGCATCGGTTCCAGTCCAGGCTGCTCCACTTCCAATCCAGCTCTCTGCTATGGTCTAGGAAAGCAGAATAAGATGGCCCAAGTCCTTGGGTCCCTGCACCTGCATGGGAGACCCAGAAGAAGCTCTTGGCTCCTGGCTTCAGATTGGCACAGCTCCACCTGTTGCGGCCAATTGGGGAGTGAAGCAGCGGATGGAAGACCTCTCTCTCTCTCTGCCACTCCTTCTCTCTCTGTGTAACTCCTTCAAATGAGTAAATCAAGGAAGGAAGGAAGGAAGGGAGGGGGGGGGGGAGGAATGGCTCTTGGCAGAACAAAGTCCTCCCTCCTCCAGCAGGCTTTGGTGATTCCCTCAGGAGCCGAGGCATGACTGAATGATGTGCCATCGAGATAGGGACTGACAGAAATGCAGCTCAGCTGAACATGACACCACATCTCACCTTGAGGGGTCAACGAATCTGTAAATAGATCCATAGGGCGCGTAGGCACTCGGGTACGAGGTGGCCAGGAAATACAGCTCCCCTGAGGAAAGAGGAGTAAGCAAACACTTACCTGCATGCCAGGGAGGGCTGAGCAGAGCTGCATGCAAAGAAAACAGCCAAAATGAGGCTGCGGCCCTCAGATGCAGGGAGCCCCCGAATGGAACCCTGGGTCCTGGCTGACAGCCAGGCCTTCGGTGGACCGTGAGCTCCCCAAGACCATCTCCAAAGCCCCAGACTGGCTCAGAGTGTGGCCCAGCAGAGTCACATGTTTGTTTGGAACCAAAAATGCTTCTCCCATATCAGCTCTGCTCTTGGAAGCCTCCCCTTGATGAATGTCCACTTCCTTCCCCAGCTTTGGCATACGATGAGGATTCCCTGTGACCGCGAACCCGTGGAGACCCACAGCGGGTGGATGGGCGGAGGCCTGTTCCTTAGGTCCTGCACTCCGCCCGCCTGTGCGCTAGTTTCCCCTCAGCCTCCCTCCCACTTTTCCTCCTTCACTCAGCCTGGGGCTCCTTACTTCCTGTGACCTCTCCGCTCCCAGCCTCCTCTGTGCCCACAGAAAGCATCGCTACACACTCTCTCCTGGATCACTTCTGGAAACAGCTGGCTTCTTCCTGTATTTTTCCCATTTGGACTTCAGAAAACACTGTCCCTTCCTTGCAGTAGTTCTGCCTTGCTTCCTGCTTCTCTATGAGGGACGGTCTAGTGTAGGGCCAGGAGCCCCAGTCTCAGGCTGTCTGGGTTTCAAATAAGCCTAGATTTGAGTTCTGATAACGCCACTTACCAGCTGTGTTATCTTGGGCAACCTCTTAATCTGCATAACCCTCAGATATTTATTCATTTGTAAAATGGGATCAAATGTCTCCCATTTCTTCTTTTTTTTTTTTTTTTTTATTTGACAGCAGAGTGGACAGTGAGAGAGAGAGACAGAGAGAAAGGTCTTCCCTTGCCGTTGGTTCACCCTCCAATGGCCGCCGCGGCCGGCGTACCGCGCTGATCCGATGGCAGGAGCCAGGAGCCAGGTGCTTTTCCTGGTCTCCCATGGGGTGCAGGGCCCAAGCACCTGGGCCATCCTCCACTGCACTCCCTGGCCACAGCAGAGAGCTGGCCTGGAAGAGGGGCAACCGGGACAGAATCCGGCGCCCCGACCAGGACTAGAACCCGGTGTGCCGGCGCCGCTAGGCGGAGGATTAGCCTAGTGAGCCACGGCGCCGGCCTCCAATGATTCTTGAAAGGTTCAGTAATCCTGGTCCTTGTTGGTGCTGTCTTCGAACAGCATTGTCAGCTTGGTGAATTAAATTCAATTGCTGTTGTGTGCTTTACATGCTCTTTCACAATTGTTTGGAAGAAAATATTTGCTAAGTTGCAGATCTGAAAATTCTAGAGCCTTCACACAGCGCTGGAGCTGTGTCAACAACTGCCTTCTTCCTTGAATGCATGAAGAACAGTGGTTTGCCTTATGCAGAGCGTGAGGTGCAATGGGCTTTTCAGAGCCCCTTAAACGAGGTGGCAGCTGCCAAATGAGCTAGGGTTTTGTGGACTGATGAGTTATACTTGTGATCTTCCCTTAGGAAGGGGTCTGAGGAGTTAAGACACACAATTAGAATCCATCTGCCCTGCTTGGTTGGAAATCCCAGGCAACAAGACAAGTGATTCTACCACTGGACACAGGAGGCATCGACCAAGGATCCTTAAATACACAGGTCTCCCTCAGCCAGGGGACCCTCCAAACCACACAGAGGCCTTCCTGGTCTCAATGAAGAATGGAAAGCCCTGTCTTGATGTATATTCCCCATATCTGACTACAGTTTGTGTGAATTATACCTCTTTAAAATGCCATAGGTGTCCCATTGTATTTTTAGGGGGAAACCATGCTTTAGTTGAATTCAAACATAGTGCCCAACTGATACTCTTAACTCTTTTGGGAGGAAAAAAACTACAATATGCCATGCAAAACACCATGCATGCAGCGTGAATTCACTGCAAGCATCATTACTTTGGCCAACCCTCTTAGGAACGTGCCCCAGTGACTGACATTCAGAAATCCTGTCAATCAACTCCACACCTGCCATTCACTCAGCGATTCTTTATTGATACCAGCTATATATAAACTAAAACTCAGGAAGGAAGAATTCTGGCTCAACTGAAAAGTAACTTACCTAAAGCCAGTGACTGATAATAAAAGAATGAAATAACACTCAAATCTAAAAATGTCTCTAAGTGGAAAAGACTATGCCAAGAGCAGAAAATACGGATGTTTGTACAAAAACACAGAAGGCAGCACCTCCGGAAGAAATCAACTTGCCTCGGGAACAGCCTCACTGGCTGTAGGGCTGCCCTTGAGCAACGTCTGACTTCGGAACACCTTGGCCAATCCACTTCCTAAAACTCAGCCAAGAACACTTCGTTTTTTTCCGGCAGATGTACTGACTGCTTTTCAAAGACTGCCTGTTCCCTCCTGCAACACATCTCCAGGAGCAACAAACCAAACCACCAAAGCCAGGGTTTCTGTGGTCTGGACTTGAAGTGACACATGTCACAGAAGATGGCACCAGTGTCCCAGGGCAGGCCAGCCCCTAGGGGTCCACCTTCTGGGGGAGTCCAGCAGGGGAGAGGCCCCACCATGGCAGGAGCTTTCACATCACCCCCTCTACACTGAGCATCAGACTCCCGGCCTGTGGTTGCTCTACTCTTATTTTTTTTTCCTCTTGGACTTCCCGTTGGAACTCATATCAACTTTTTTCGAGTAAAAATGCTTGAATTTTCCAAAATACCATCTGCTCCTATAACATGTTCATCTCAAACCTCTATTCATAGGCTCGCTGAGGGGAGCGGGTCCTGGGGCTGCCTGGATCGCTTCACAACCTGCTCCAGCAAAGGTCCTGTGCAGCCAGCCACCCCACATCTCAGAGCAGAGAGCATCAAGCATCTGGGAACTCTTCAAGGCTCTGGTTTCCACCTATGGAAACTGACAGACCTGGGAGGCCACTTTACTCTCGTTTTTACATTTCAGCATGGCTGGATCCACTGCCAAATACTGGATTTATTTAAAATTTGAAAATTTCATCTTTCAAAATGAAACATGATTTATGTAAAGATGAAGCAAAAAAATCACAGTGGTTAAGACGCCCCTTGAGATGTGCACATCCCACATCGATCGGACAGCCTGACCGAAGTCCCAGCTTCTCAGCTTCCGATCCAGCTTCCTGCTAACGTGCACCCTGGGAAGCAGCAGATGATGGCTCAAGTAGTTGAGTCCTTGCCACCATGTGGGAGACCTAGACTGACTTCTGGGCACCTGGCTTAGAGCCCTGGCTGTTGCAAACATTTGGGGAGTAAAACAGTAGATGGGAGATTATCTTCTCCCCCCTTCCCTAACCCATTTAAATAAAATGAAAACAAATTTTTTTAAAGTCAGTTCTCTGATTGCAAAGTATCTGGAAATTTTCTAGAGCTGAGTCTTTCCTTCTCTCTCCTACACATGCCTATGTGCTTTGCTTCGTTGATATCCTTAGTACACACCTAGTCTGTCTATTGAGTAAACTCTTGCCTAGTCTACTGTTTTCTCAGATTTCTCAAAAAAGAAATTCTCGGAGAGGATGTTTGGTGCAGCAGTTAAGATGCCACTTGGGGGGCTGGCGTTCTGGCATAGTGGCCACTGCCTGAAATACCAGCATCCCATATGGGCACTGGTTTGTGCCCCAGGTGCTCCGCTTCTGATCCAGCTCCCTGCTAATGGCCAGGGAATAGCAGCACAAGATGGCACAAATGTCTGAGCCCCTGCTACCCATGTGGGTGACCTGGAAGACGCTCCTGGCTCCTGGCTTCGGTCTGGCCTGGTGCTGGCCATTGCAACCATATGAGGAATGAACCAGCAGATGGAAGACCTCTCTGTCACCCCCGCCCCTCTCTGTAACTCTTTCAAAATAAAATAAATAAATCTTTTTTTAAAATGCCACTAGGGACACTTGCATCTCATAGCAGAGCACCTGGGCTCCAAGTTCCAGCAACTCAGCTGCCAATCCAGTTTGCTACTAATGCATAACCCAGGAGGAAGCATATGATGGCTGAAGTAACTGGGTCCCTGCCACGCATATAGAAGACCTGGACTGACCCTAGCCCAAGCAGTGAGTTGATCCTGAGTGGTCTCCTCTCCCAGCAACACCAGCAGGATAAACCCACTCTGCCCACTTTGGCCCTGTCCCACTTCCTGTAGCTATGGTTAGAATAAAAGCACAAGAGCACTGCAATCTTCTTCATTATCAGGAGAGACAAGACAGGGGCCAGCACTGTGGCTTATGGGGTTAAGCTACCACCTGCGATGCCAGCATCCCATTTGCTCGCTGGTTCATGTCCTGGCTGCTCCACTTGCAATCCAGCTCCCTGCTAATGCGCCTGGGAAAGCAGCAGAAGATGGCCCAAGTGCTTGGGTTCCTGCACCCATGTAGGAGTCGCAGATGAAGCTCCTGGCTCCTGGCTTTGGCTTGGCTCAGTGCTGGCTATTGCAGCCATCTGGGGAGTGAACCAGCACATGGAAGATCTCTCTGTGTCTCTCCCTGTCTGTACCTCTGACTTTCAAATAAATAAATAAATCGTTTAGAAAAACAGACAAGTGCAAAGATGAAAGTGTGGACCTTGATTTGCCCCTCAAACACAGTGTGCACTTCAACCCAGAAGGAGCCGGCTGGCATATTCAGTCTATTTCCACGTTGGTGAAACAAGCATAAGGAGGACATCACAGGGCAGCTGTGATTACCAAATAATGTGGAAAATGTAAAGTGCTCAGAAGAGAATCCAGTACATACTAAGAGATGACTAATGACGGTGCTAATGGCAGAAGTGAGAGTTACCGTGTAAACACTGCAACAGTGAGAAATATTCACCGATGCCTGGGACCACCCTCCAGCGAAGCAGAGATCCCAGGACCCTGCATGCTGGTTACCTGCTTCATCTTCGGCAAAAGAGATGATGAACTTGCTGTAGTTGCTGATCAGCCCTGGGAAAGCACAGGTCACGGTGTTGCCCAAGCAAATGTCCCGCTTCTTCCATTTTTTGGTTCTCCTATCTTCCTGCAAAGCCATAAGTCGACTACATGAAAAATAAAACCTTATATTTTAGAAATCCGTATTTCCACTCTGCAGTATATTTTTGCATCTAGAATCAAGGAATCCTTGAGTACAAGGACTGGCGCTCCCAGAGATCAATAACTAATGGCCCCCAAAAACACAAAGTTGCTTGAGAGATACTTCAGTTACCCACTTGCCTTAGACGGGAAAGCACATTTTCTATTATGAAAGAGGTTATGGGGCTGGTGGTGCGGCCTAGTGGGTAAAGCCACCATCTGCAATACAGGCATCCCTTATGAGCATCAGTTCAAGTTCCAGCTGCTCTACTTCCGATCCAGCTCCCTGCTAATGCACCTGGGAAAGCAGTGCAAGATGGCCCAAGTGCTTGGGTCCCTGCGCCCACATCGGCGACCAGGAAGAGAAGCAGCTCTGGGTTCCTGGCTTCAGTCTGGCCTAGCCCTGACTGTTACAGCCATTTTGGGGAGTGAACCAACAGATAGAAGATTCTCTTTCTCCCTCTCCCTCCCTCTCTCTCTTTGTGTATGTGTGTGTGTGTGTGTGTGTGTGTCTTTCCCTCTCTCTGTAACTCCTTTAAGTAAATAAAAATAAATCTTTAAAAAAAGGACTTTGGGCCGGCGCCGCAGCTCACTAGGCTAATCCTCCGCCTGCGGCACCGGCACACCGGGTTCTAGTCCTGGTCAGGGCGCCGGATTCTGTCCCGTTGCCCCTCTTCCAGTCCAGCTCTCTGCTGTGGCCCGGGAGTGCAGTGGAGGATGGCCTAGGTCCTTGGGCCCTGCACCCGCATGGGAGACCAGGAGGAGGCACCTGGCTCCTGGCTTCGAATCGGCGTGGTGCGCCGGCCATAGCAGCCACTTGGGGGTTGAACAAATAGAAAAAGGAAGACCTTTCTCTCTCTCACTGTCTAACTCTACTTGTGAAAAAAAAAAAAAAAAAAAAAAAAAGGACTTTGGTAGGGGGCTAGAGCTGCTGCCTGTGACTATGAGATACCGGTTGGAGTCCCAGCCTCTCCACTTTTGATTCAGTTCTCTGCTATGGCCTGGGAAAGCAGCAGCAGATGGCCCGAGTGTTTAGGCCCCTGCACCCATGTGGGAGACCCAGAAGAAGCTCCTTGCTCCTGGCTTCAATCTGGCCCAGCCCGGGCCATTGAGGCCATTTGGGGAGTGAACTAACTGACAGATCTCTCTCCCCCTTTCTTTAACTCTGACATTCAAATGAATAAATAAATCTTTAAAAACCAAATAGTTTTGTGCCCTGTAAAGGTTATACTATTATAAAGGACTCATCTTATTCTTCTGAGTTCTGTGACCTTTGGTTACTTGCTCAACATCTCTTAGCCTTGGTTTGCTCATCTGTACAATGGTAAATGTGAAAGTTAAAAATAATAATAGTAATATACATTAAGATCTCACCAGTGTGCCTGACCCAAGTTGTTATTATTACGTCTACATAACAGCAGACAGATGCTTCACATCCTTCTGTCATCCAGCTGAACTAAAAGCAGGTTTACAGAGAAAAGGAAAAGAGGCTGAGTAAACTTGAGTGTTCATCAGAATCAAAGTTGTGTGGAAACAGGGATCCCAAACCTAAGTGAACCTCATGTACACACCTCTCACCTACCAGGTGAAATGTAGGGGGCGGGCCTTGCGGGAAAACAAAGAACAATGAACTCCCAGAGAGCGCATCAGTGATGATAAAAGAACTGAGAGATGAGTAACTCCACCCCATCTCTGTAACCAAGAAAGGCAGCATGAAAATATAAACATCCTGGGGCCAGCGCTGGGGTGCAGGGGTTACACGGCCTCCTACAGTGCTAGCATCCCACGTGGGCTCCTGTTCAATTCTCAGCTGCTCTATCGCTGACGGAGCTCTCTGCTAATGTACCTGGGAAAACAGCGGAGGATGGCTCCAGTCCGTGGGGCCCTGCCAACCATGTGGGAGACCTGGAAGAAGATTCTGGTTCCTGGCTTCAGCCTGGTCCAACCCTGGCCATTGAGGCTATTAAGGAAGTGAACCAGTAGATGGAACAGGTCTCTCTCTCTCTCTCTCTCTCTTTGTCCCATCCTCCCTGAAACTCTTTCAAATAAATAAATATTTTAAATATATATATATATGAAAATGATAATATATCATGATCAAGTGGCACTTATCCCAAGAATGTAAGGTGGCTTTGACAATTACAAAATCAATCAAAAAAATTCACCGAATTAACAGACTAACAATGAAAATTTGCATGATTCTCTCAATAGGTTCAATGAAACTTCTGACAACATTCACCATCTTGAAATATATGAAATTTATATATCAAATAAATTTTTTTAAAAAAATCAGCCAACTAGATAGTAGGAAACGCCACAGCCTAACAAAGAAAATGTAAAAAATACCTACAGCTGACACAATTATTGGCTTTAAAACAAAAAATGGGGGCCGGCTCTGTGGCGTAGCGGGTAAAGCCGCTGCCTGCAGTGTCAGCATCCCATATGGGTGCTGGTTCGAGTCCCGGCTGCTTCACTTTCAATCCAGCTCTCTGCTATGGCCTGGGAAAGCAATAGAAGACGGTCCAAGTCCTTGGGCCCCCGGACCCGTGTGGGAAACCCAGAAGCAGCTCCTGGCTCCTGGATTCAGATTGGCACAGCTCCAGCAGTTGCAGCCAATTGGGGAGTGAACCAGCAGATGGAAGACCTCTCTGCCTCTCCTTCTCTCTCTCTGTAACTCTTTCAAATAAATAAATAAATCTTAAAAAAAAAAAAGAATGCTTTCTTCTACTTCTAGCTGATATTGTACTGAAGCTGAAACAATAAGCCAGTAAAGAAACCCAATTTGGGAAAACAAAAAGTATCTATTGTCACAGATACAATGATCAGTCACACAGAAAATCCGATAGAACATGTGAAAAAGCTACTAGAACTAGAAAGGAGTGGAGCAAGGTTGCCAGATACATAAAAAACCCTCTATATTACATCAATTATACATTATATCAATTAGCAATCAGAAATTAAAATTTAACAAAATAACATTTATCATAGCATCAGATACTTCTATGTACAAGACTGTACATTGAAAACTATAAACACTGTGGCAATTTTATTCATGATATTCCAAAACTATAAATGGCAAAAGTATCCATCAGCCAAAGAACAGATGAATAAATTATAGTATATTCATAAACCTGAACACTGCAAAGCAATAAAGGAGACAAACTACTGAAATATTCATTGAAAGTGATGAATCTCACAGACATCACTGAATGCAAGAAGCCCCAAAAGAGTAGATACCACTTTGGGGAGAGTGGTTATCTCTGACTATTATGTGCATGTGCCTGTACAGAGTGAGAGAACGAGATGGTTCTGACAGGTACTAAGCAAGAAAGAATCTTCAAGGGAGACAGATACGTTTTGAGTCTTGACATGGTTGGTGGTGCTACAACTATATACATTTGTAAAACTTTAGCCAACTGAGCTCTTAAGAGCTTGCATTTCATCATACGTAGGTTATACTCAATAAAAAAATCAAATAACCAAGGAGCAGTCCTTCCTTACCCACTCATGAAGTCCCCAAAGATGTAGAGGCCATTCAGATTAGGGGACTCGCATCCACGGTAGACATAGCCTCCAGTGACCGACTTCCCCACAGCGTGGCCATAGGCATAGATTGGCAGAACATCATCTGTCCAGGAATAAGGAAAAAGGGTCAGGGCTGAAAATGGGGAGCTCTGAAGAGGAAGAAAGGGGCTTTGTGATGCAGCTGGTCGGTTCAGTGAAGAACACTTTATCTATTGATCACCAGGACGGGCAGGCAAGCGAATTGTATTTATTTTTCTCAACAGACCTACCACAATGTGTGTGAGCTTATGATCTGACGGTTTCCAAGGCCAAAGAGTCCCTCCATCTACCTGGTAATGAGCTAGGAACCCACACATCCAGGTTTTCCCCCAAGGTTTATAGGGCAGATACTCAGGTTTAAGGAGATGGAAAGTACTGTGAGGATCTGTAAGGCTGCTTTGTAACTTAGAGGACAGAAACAACCAAGCAATGGTGATGGCGTCAGAATACTGGGATCGCAAGTCAGGCGGAGTTTCTAAAGCACACCTGGATTGTTGATGCTTAGGCATTGTACTTTCAGTTGACTGTATGGAAGATATCATTTCAGTGGGCCGTCCCAATTGGGAAATAAGTATCTCACTAATTTTGCTGTGCTGGTTGTTCTCAAAATAATGTGCCTAAAAATCACGTGAATGACTTATTTAGAATATAAATTCTTAGGTCAATGCCATTTCCCCAACCTACTCAAGATTTAGATTCATTAGGTCTAAGGTAGAACCTAGGAATCTACATTTTTTAAAATAATCTTAATTAGCTTTATTTTCTATTCAAGAATCAAACACTCCATTCCACAGAATAGAATAAGTGTTCCTGTGGTCCAAGCAAAGGGAGTTGATTTTATAGACAGAGAAAGGCTTAAAGAAGCAAAATGAAACAAAACGAACATTGGTCATTTAGAAGCTAACTGCCCTGTAAGGCAGGTCAAAGAGATAAAACAATAGGAAAACAACTAATTGGTTAGCATCAGGAATCTATTTTGCAGCAGGTACTGCCAAAGTGTCTCTGGTGCCAGTGGCTGGAGGGGCACTCAGAGAAGTGCTATCCCACAGGACACAACCAAGGCACTATTTAAATCTCCGAAGGTTTTATTCCCCAACCTCCACATCCAACCCACCCCTGTCATTCAAGAAATCACCCAGAGAACCCCCTACTTACCCAAAGAGGCATTGTGACAAAGTTTTCTGTCATAACACTCAAACCCCTCCTTGGCCCTCCAGCCATAGTTCCCTCCTTTAATAATGAGATCAACTTCTTCAAACTTGTTCTGGCCCACATCCCCACAGAAGATCCGGCCTCGGCCCCGGCGCGTGATGGGGTCCCCGCGGTCCACGGCACAGCGCCACATGTTTCTGACCCCATAGGCATAGATGGCGGGATGAGCTCCTGGCTCAGAAACAAATGGATTGTCCCAGGGGATTCGGTACTGCCTGCCATCGGAGCCTGCCCCATTCACATTGATCCTTAACACTTTTCCCAGCAGTGAGCTTCTGAAAGACAGAAGGCCAGAGACACGCACAAGTGAGCAAGCGCACTGGAGGAGACCACCCAGCAGGCCGATGAATGTCAATACCACAAGGTCACTGAGAGTCGCATGGAGGAGCCACGACTCACGCTTTTCTTTTAAAGATACCCAAGAGGCTAAGATTTACCCAATTTTGAGACCAGAACTACTAGGAAAGTTTGGTGGGATCCTAGTTCACAGAACCCTGAGCAAGTTGTGGCTACAATTTGTTATTTTTGGAGGGGCTGGCATTGTGGAACACCTGGTTATGCACAACCCGCAACTCTGGCATCCCATATGACTGCCAGCTCAAGTCCCAGTTCCCCTACTTCAGATCCAGCTCCCTGCTGATGCTCCTGGGAAAGCAGCAGAAAATGGAACAAGTGCTTGGTCCTCTGCACCCACATGAGAGTCCCAGATGGATGGAGTTCCAGGCTCCTGGCTTTGGCCTGGCCCAGCACCAGCTGTCATGGGAGTGAACCAGCAACAAATGGAAGATATCTCTTTCTCTCACTCTCTTTCTCTCTCTGTAACTCTACTTTTCAAATAAATAAAATAAATCTTTACAAAATTTTTTGGATGAAGATGGTTTATCTCCAACTGGTCTACTACTACGAATTTTTACTAGAAGCTGGCTGCATTCTTCCTTGTCTAACAATGCACTTAGTGGAAAGAAGGGTTTTTGAGAGGCTCTGCCAATGACTATGGTCTCTTGACTGAGTTTTCACATTTGTAAAGTGGGGAAAACAGCACTACCTTGCAATGTCCAATGAACTGTCCTGTGTACAACACCCAGTAGAGTTGCTGAATCACAGTAGGTATTGGACAAATGTTAGCTTAGTGTTATTATCAACCTTAATGTTTTTATTGCCAGGAATAATGGAAGCCAAGTGCTTACTGGGTACAGAGGGCAGAAAAACCACATGATCTCTCTCTGGGCAGTACGGCATCATTGGGCTCTGGTGCCAGACTGAGTTGGAATTTTGGGTGTGCCACTTACTGACTGTGTATATATCTGCATTTTCTCATCTGTAAAATAGGTATCATAATACCTACACTTCATAGGATTCACTCACTCCATACATATTTGCGGAGTGAATACCTAGGCCCAGGCACTGTTCCTGATGCTGGTGAAACACTACCTAACAAAATAAATGAAAATTCTTGCCCTTGAAGGTTGTTAGAATGATGTTCTCAAATGCACACAAAACACTTAGAGTGCCTGAGGTATAGCAATCACCCAACACACGTTACGTCTCATTAACTTCTCATGAGTCTCCAGGGCCTAGCACAGTGCCTGGAACACAGTGCTCAATATTGTTGAGTTTAATTCAGTTGGATGATTGGTGTGGTACATAATGTCCTGCTAACTTGCAGTTAAGATTCTGAATCTTTCCCTACATAGCACTTTGAGGGTTACAGTACGTCTCCAGAATTTTAACTACTAAGTACACAAAGTCTAAAATTTATAGGTCAGAAAGCCAAATAGTCTTCCTACTTGCCTCAATGGAAGAGAATACATGTTGCAGTAAGTGATTTGGGTTTGCCTCTGTCTCAGCCAAAACCAAGGGCTCACTCTTAAGGGACACAGGCTCACTCTAAAGGATCAGGGCCCAGTCTGCACCCAGCTTACTTGTTCTGAGCATTTCCAAACTTGCCAAAGGGATCCCCGGCCTGCCCTCCGTCCCCAGTGAATATGTACATATAGCCATCCACGCCAAAAAGAATTTGTCCACCATTGTGATTTGAGGCCGGTTCTTCTATCTCCAAGATGACCCTAGAAGAGACAAAGAGGAGCCAGCACTGTAGCACAGTGGGTTAAAGCCCCAGCCCACAGGGCCGGCATCCCATATAGGCGCCAGTTTGAGTCCCGGCTGCTCCACTTCTGATTTAGCTCTCTGCTATGGCCTGGGAAAGCAGCAGAAGATGGGCCAAAGTCCTTGGGCCCCTGCACCCACATGGGAGACCTGGAAGAAGCTCCTGGCTCCTGACTTCAAATCAGCTCAGCTCTGGCTGTTGCAATCATGTGGGGAGTGAACCAACCGATGGAAGACCTCTCTCTCTCTCTCTCTCTGGCTCTCTCTTCTCTCTCTGTAACTCTGCCTTTCAAATAAATAAAATAAAACTTTAAAAAAAGAAGAAGGAGAAGAAGAAAAAGAAACTATACCCTTAGGCTTTGACACAGGCTGAATAAAGCTGCATCCTGTTGAGATCCCCCAGAAACCCTGGCCCAAGCCCACAGGATCTGCCAAGGCAGTCAAGACCTGCTACAGAGTTTCCAAGGATCAGGAAGCACACAGTTGCAGGCTCTGAAATGCCCCTGGTTTCCTGGTATGACTCCCTTATGGGTCATTTTTCTTCCATACCTTGACCTCACAGGCTAAGACACAGCCTTGGCAGCAATCATGCCATGACTCTTTGCTCAACCAGAACTCTCAATCTCTTCCTCTGAGCAACTTATCAGGACTTATTCTACCTGTTCATTTTTCTTTCCAGTCCTCCAACCTAACTATAATAGTTAAAAAAGACAAGGCATGAAAGAGAAGAAGGAAAACAGGCAGAAGGAGTGGAAAGAGCATGAGTTTGAGGCCAAATTGAACGGAATTGTCATCTGATCATGGCCTTATGCCACAGCTCCCTGTGAGGGTGAGAAATCTCATGTTCTGGGGGCCAGTGCTGTGGTGCAGCAGGTTAAGCCTCCACCTCCGATGCCAGCATCTCACAGGAGCAGAAGATAGAGACCCAGCTGCTCCACTTCCAATCCAGCTCCCTGCTAACGTGCCTGGGAAAGCAGCAGAAGACAACCCAAGTGCTTGGTTCCTGCACCCTTTTGGGAGACCCAGAATAAGCTCCTGGCTTTGGCCCAGCCCAGCCCCAGCTCTTGTGGCCATTTGCGGAGTGAACCAGTGGATGGAAGGTATCTCTCCATCACTAGCTCTTTCACTCTCTCCCCACAACTCGTCTCTCCTCCTCTACAACTCTGCTTTTCAAATAAATAAAAATGAATAAGTAAATATAAAATAAGAAATCCCATGTTCTAGGGTCTAATGGACATAAAATAACCAGACTGCTATTTTATTTAATATATTGATACTATCTATGATCATTTCCGAAACTCTTAAGGTTCTTGACACTTGCTTACCCTCTGTACAAGCAAACAAGCTTGACTCTCATCAGGGTAAGTCATGGCGCTGCCCCTCAAAGCCCCTCAACTCACGGGCTGTGTTTTCTAATCAACAATGATTCCGAGGCCAGCGCTGTGGAGTAGTGGGTAAAGCCGCTACCTGCGGTGCTGACATCCCATATGGGCGCCGGTTGGAGTCCCAGCTGCTCCACTTCCGATCCAGCTCTCTGCTATGGCCTGGGAAAGTAGCAGAAGATGGCCCAAGTCCTTGGGCCCCTGCACCCATGTGGGAGACCCAAAAGAAGGTTCTGGCTCCTGCCTTTTGATCAGCTCAGTTTGACCACTGTGGCCATCTGGGGAGTAAACCAGCAGATGGAAAGCCTCTCTCTCTCTGCCTCTGTATCTCTGCCTTTCAAATAAAATAATAAATCTTAGAAACAAAAAGCTGGAGCCGGCACTGTGGCGCAGTGGGTTAATGCCCTGGCCTGAAGTGCTGGCATCCCATGTGGGCGCTGGTTCTAGTCCCAGCTGCTCCTCTTCCAATCCAGCTCTCTGCTATGGCCTGGGAAAGCAGTAGAGGATGGCCTAAGACCTTGGGCCCCTGCACCCGTGTGGGAGACCCAGAAGAAGCTCCTGGCTCCTGGCTTCGGATCAGCGCAGCTCCAACCATTGTGGCCATCTGGGGAGTGAACCACTGGACGGAAGACCTCTCTATCTCTGCCTCTCATCTCTCTGTGTAACTCTGACTTTCAAATAAATAAATCTTAAAAAAAGAAACAAAAAACACACACAGCAATCCCTTTCTCACCATTTTCAACTTTAGACTGCTCTAAAACCAGTAGGGTTTGCTCTGTATCATCTCCAAGGACTGACAGGCATTAACTGGGCACACAAGACCAGAACTGCATTCTTGTATGTATGACTCACCTCTCTGATTTGGGGTCAGCTTTGTTGGGATCGGCTGGAGAAACCTTCATCTCACTAATCCGGATCTTTTCAACCTTCTTTTTGCCCAGAAATGAATAGTAAATATAGAATTTGCGGTTGCGGCGGAATTTGGGATGAAAAGCCAAACCCAAGAAGCCCCTTTCGTCCCCAATCCATGGAGTGGTCAACACAACGCTCTTGAGGTCCAGGAAGGGTTGCTCCAGGCGACTGCCATCAGGGAGATAGACCCACACCACTCCCACCTGCTCGGCAACAAAGAAGCGATGGGAGCCGTCCCCTGCGTGGACCATGGAGACAGGGTTCCTCAGCCCGTTGGCCACCTCAGCGAGGCAGAGCTGCAGGCAGCCCTCAGGGTCCTCGGCCACCACGCCCAGCTGGCGGTTGAGATGGTCATTCCTCAGGACGTTCGGGAAGCAGTAGTCCTCGTCAGGGAGGTTGAGGAGGTGGCAGAAGCGGGCACTGTCCTTCGCTTGGGCATCCTGGAGACCACGGTCATTGGTCAGCAGGGAGATGGCAGAGTGGCAGTTGGAGTGGAATGCAGAGCAGTAGTCAGAGCAGAGACCAGGAAGGTTCCGCAGGGGCGTGTGCGGGTTCTCAGCGTCGTAGAGGTGAGCAGCGTAGGGCGAGCACTCCTGGAAAGGAAAGGAAGCTCCGTGTGAGTTTGAAGAAGCAGAAGAAAAACAATTTGGGGGAAAAAATAATCAGGATTCTGGAGTTTTTGCTACCAGCCACCCGTAAATCACTTCTCTGTGACCCAAATTGTCTACCCAGGCAATGCCCCTGGAAGGCAGAAGGGGGAAAATGATATTAATAAACCTCTCATATTCACAGCACTAATGCTAGCCTTTCAGCTTAGTTCTTTAAAACACTTAAGTTTTATTAAAGGATGAATAGATTTAAAAGAAGACAGAACCAAATACTTCAATCATTCTCTTTCTTATAAATGCCATAGCTGCAAGATTTTGTTTCCTTACACGATTCTCAAGCAATTTGGTAGAAATTTCATGTTTGTTAAATCTGGGTGTTACAGATACCATGTTGATTATTTCAGTGGCTTGATTTTGTTCATATTTCTGTATGTTGGGAATATTTTATGATTAAAATGATCAAAATAGACATTCAGTATGCCACTCCCAGAGCCTCAGTGTTTAGTCATTTCTTCACATCTTATTAGAAACATTTAAGTGTTTAACACACACACAGCACCAGGCCGGGAGCTCTACATACATATTTTAACTACGGCTACAGGGCAACATGCGTACTGTTTACGCAAAGAAGACTGTGCCCGAGGGAGTATCTGCTTCTGACATATCCCTAGATTGTCAGATTGTTTAGGGGTAAAATAGCATACTGGGAACAGACAACCAACTCTCAACGCAATGAAAGACAGACGCAACTGGGATTTGGAAAGAAAGGCAGGTCTAAGGAGTACAGTTGGGGCAGAGGAATACAACAGGGTCCACTGGCCCAAGAGCCCCCTTGCGATCACTAAGGGCTGTCTCTTCTGTGCCAGCCAGCCTGTGCAGAGCTGTCTCACTGTTCTCGTACCACCCCAAGAGACCAGCAACACTTTCCACGTGCATTGGAGCTCCCTGCTCTCTCTTATTTCCCAGCTGTGGACTGCAGAGCAAGCTCTTGGTTGCTGGGTAGAGGAGGAGTCCAGAGACTCACAGTGCCTGTCCCTGGGCTCTGTTTCAGTTGAGGACACTCAGCTGAGCTGCTGACAAGAACCAATACGACCAGCTCTTTTTTTTTTTTTTTTTTTTTTTTTTTGACAGGCAGAGTGGACAGTGAGAGAGAGAGACAGAGAGAAAGGTCTTCCTTTTTGCTGTTGGTTCACCCTCCAATGGTCGCCGCGGCCAGCACGCTGCGGCAGGCGCACCACGCTGATCCGATGGCAGGAACCAGGTACTTCTCCTGGTCTCCCATGGGGTGCAGCGCCCAAGTATTTGGGCCGTACTCCACTGCACTCCCGGGCTACAGCAGAGAGCTGGCCTGGAAGAGGGGCAACCAGGACAGAATCCGGCGCCCCGACCGGGACTAGAACCCAGTGTGCCAGCGCCGCAAGGCAGAGGATTAGCCTACTGAGCCGTGGCGCTGGCCACAACCAGCTCTTGATGTCACCTGACTCTGTTCATTCTTGGGGAGCAGAAACAAGAAGAGAGGGGAGCCAGAAATAAGGATGACGTACCAGGGAACAGAAGGGGGCTGGCAGAAGTAGAACCTCCAGCATGCTTTTATGCAGCCTTTGGAAGTTTTCAAGTTTGCTTCCACTCAGCTTAGTAAGCAAAGTTTCTACTTTCAGGATAAGAAAACAAAGACCCAGGCAGAGTGTCTCCTCAGTGCCTGGCTGACCGAACTTACTCTTGCCAGAGCTCAGAAAACCATTTGGTAAATGGGCCAAAAGGGCACAAGAGTCTAAGCATCTAGATCTGTGCCCCAGTACTCTCTGGCTTTGGAGGAGTCATTTAAAATGCCTGAATCCTCAGCAAACAGGGGTCATTATCACTGCCTGCAGAATCCCTGCTGGAAGCACACCGCTCATGCAAGGGAAGAAAGGGTTCCTTGCAGATTTTAACAAAGGAACACAGGGAGGGTTATTTGGCTGAAGTTGTTCTAATTCCACAAGTACCTGAAACAAGAGAACATTCTAATATCTCCGAAATAAACAGGGCTGAGCGCTGATCACAAAAGCCCGGCCTCTGCCCACGGGGTTAATTCTCCAGAAAACTGCTGAGGGCTGGAAATTGAGGTGAGAGAGTGTGCCCGGGGCTGTGCCACCCAGGTGGCAGGCTTCTGGGCCAAGCTTGGCTGTGATTTCCCCTCTGGGCTCTGGGAAGCTCAGTTACTCTGTGTCCCTGGCACAGGCAGTGGGGGTGACCAGCATCCTCCAGCCGAGTGGCAGCAGGAGGCATGAACAGACAAGCAGCGGGTGGCCAGGCGGTCACTCGGAGGTGCCCTGAGGAGCTCGGATCAGAAGTCTGCCTGGACTTGTGTCTCAGCACTGGAGCAATCCTCCCGGCCACAACCTCTCCCCTACATGGCTAAATGTTGTCTTCCCACAGAGTTGCTGTGCAGCCTGCAGCTGTCAGTTTTCAGGCTGAGCCCAGCTCAGGCGATGCCTCCCAGGGATGTGGTTTTTGGCTACAGGAGAGCCCAGAGAAGCAGAAATTCTGAGTCACAGCCACTGCACGGCTTGAAGTTCCCTCAGGCTTGGTCTGTAATGCTGGGCAGACAGGACCCCAGGGAGAGCCCCCAGCCCCTGCCACAGCCATCCACACTCCAGAAATCCCCAAGCACAAATCATCCAGGGCAGGGAAGACTGCACCTGGACAGACAAGGCCACTCCCTCCATCATGCACTCCGCCATACAGGCACAGGTGGGAGCTGTGCCCGGCTCTCCCAGCACCACAAGGAGGACCCTCTTTCCTTCTTCTGGGGCCCAGGAAGAGCTTCAGAGGAAGAGTTTTGGGGAGCCCACGGAAACCTAATTCAGCATACTCTCCCTTAAGCGTACATCCAGAGTCCGTGGCCCTAAGGTGAGGCACTGGGCAGGTGAGCTTCTCAAGGGTTGAGTGCCTCAGGACCCTCCCTCTGCAGCCTGGCACCTCAAACCTCTGGGGCTGGCAGGAACCCTCCCTAGGGCTCCCTCCCCTCTCCTCAGGGCTGTTCCCAGGCCTACCTGGCACAGGATGTCTTTAATGTAACCTCCACACAGCTCGTGGCCCCTCAGATCAAAGTAGTCCATGATGTCCTGGTACCGGGCAGCAACACGGCGGTCCTTTCGCTGGTCACAGCAGCCGAAGGACTCATAGTCGGAGCAAAACTCCAGGTGCCGGGACGGCCGGAAAGGGGGTCCATAATCCAGGCACTGGGGGTGTCCCTGCAGCAAGCCCACCTGGCCCATCAGGATCACGAGGCAGAGGGAGATGTCAGAAGAGAGCCTGGGGGGCCAGCAACTCCGACCACCCCTCAGATGAGAACCAGGCTTCCTCGGCATTTCGGCCTTGGGAACACTCAGCTGCTGTTTGCTCAGGCTGGCTTCCCTGCTCTGCCCTGTTCCCTCCCTCTCTTCCTCCCCCACCTCACCCCACCCCATTTTTTCTTCCTTCCTGCCCCCCCTCGTCCCCAAGTTCTCGGAGGTAGATTCTGAGCAGTGTCCCTCATGAAAGCAGTGGGAGGCGTCCCTAACTGCTCCATTCCAGCTAAACACAAAGCTGGCACAAGCTGAGATGTTGGGGCACATGGTTGCTTAGGCAAAAGGTGCAAAGGCATCAGTGGCAGAGGGGTCGAGTCATTAAAGTACAAAGAATCCCTGCGGCGTAGCGGTGGCGAGGCCAGGAAAGGCATACGTTTTATTGTTTCCTCACAGGCCAAGCAATCCAGTCACTGTGAGGAGACCACACACTACCTGGTCCCAGCCAGGGCTGAAGGACACCCCGAGAACACGGGTGCAGGGCTGGGAAGACGGAGGGGCACATGACAAGAGGCACGGTGTACTGTGTGGTCCTGTGACCTAGAAAGGTGTGTTTGGAGCGGCAGGAAGAGAGTTTCATGAATGCTGCAAGGAGAGGAGAGATGGTGAACGAGAATGAAGGTGCCGTGGTTCATGCCGCTAGACCACCACCACACCGGGTAAGTGATGGGAAATGGGAATGTGTTTCTCAGGTTCTGGAGGCTGGGGGTTCAAGATGAGGATGCCAGAAGGTCCTCCCCTGGCGGCACCTTGTTGCCGAGTGCTCACATGGCTGAAGGGGCAAACGCTGTCTTCCCCTGGTAGAAGTGAGGCAAAGAACACACACCACTTCCTACATCCCTTTTATCAGGGGCCAATCCCGCTGACGATGGAGGAGCTCCTGCTAGGGCCCCCACCTCTTAATGCATTAGCAATTCCTTTCAACATACAGATTTGGGGGAACACAATCAGACCACAGCAGAGGGAGTGTGGCCCAGTGAGAACAAGGAGGCAGTAAGGGTGCTGTTTGGGATGATTTCATCAGGAAGTACAGGAAGTCTGGGTTGCTTCTGTCACATCTACACTGCTTCAGGGGTACTCTCCACATTCAGCGTTGAGTTCCAACGTTAGTGTCTAAGAACAGGTTTTACTTGGAACATGTACCTTACACATAACAGGCCCATGACACATATTTCTTGGAAAAGCAGATGAAGAACACTGGAGTTCCAAACTCACACAGCTCCAAACCCAAATGGGGACATTACTACCTGAACACACTCTCCTTTCAGCACCTCCATGGCTCCTGTTCACTCTGTAACCTCCTTCCTGGTCAGATCCCTTTCGGATACAGATGGAATTCAGTGCTACTTGTTCAGACGGACATCCATGGGGGCGCCCTACTGGCTCTCCCACTCCCACCAGAAACAGCCTCTGCCAGGAGGTGCTCAAGAGAACAGTGAGCCTCCATCCAGCTAGGTCTGCACTCACAATGCTCTGGGTAACGAAAGCCCCAAACAGCATTTGGAACACAAACTGTCAACAAATCCCTGCTTTCCAATTTGTCCTGCTCAGAATCCTACCAGGATGGGTGCTGTTTTTAAAACAAAACGTGCCATCCATGACTCACTGGTGACTGTGTGGCTTCCACCGGGCTGCTTGCTCAGAGGTCAGAAGCCGCGGGTGGGAGGAGAAACACTTGGACTCCCTTCAGCCAGTGAATTCAGAGCCACCATAGCCTTCTCAGAAATGGGCAGTCACCATCTGGGCTATGGAAGAATGAATACATTCTCTCATTCCACGCAGGACCTGAGGGTATTTCTTGACATTTATGTCTCAGTTTTCCTTTTGTCATAAAAAATACAGATATCTTACTGTTGAAGGTAAAGAGTCAATGGAAAATTAGCAGGGAAAAATCAGCCAGCAGCATCTCATCAGATATTGTGAGAGCCTGAGTGTATGATTATTGGAACAGGTAACATTTCAGATGGGACTTCAAAACACTTCAGATAGATACATAATACTCATGATTATACAATAAGTAATAACTAAATTTACAATAGAGACTCGGGGTTAATTCAGTAGCTATATACTATGTGCAAAGTATTACGCTGGAAGAGGAATGTTTAACAAAGGACTGATTCATAAAAACAAACTTTTTCAAGAATTTCATGCTCTGAGAAGAAATATCAAGACAGAAGGAGGAATTCTTTTATAATAGTCATCTCTTCCCAAAATTCCTCAACAGAACTTATCACCAAAATATTTCCCCATGGTATTAAATCTAACACTGATCAATTAGAATCAAAAGAATATAAAATCATTTCACCACAGGAGAATATTTTATTATACAATTTCAGAGGAAAATCTGCACACAGTAACTGTTGTAGCACTGTATTACCTCATTAAACAAGTATTTTTCCATTTGAAAAACTATTTCTTAATAAATGCTACATTTGGCATTACAAAAAATATAAATTTTCAAGGAGCAAAGGCAATCAAACTCTTTCTCCAGCTATAATTGATAACAAAAGAAAATATAAAAATATATAAAAATAACTTTTTGTAGCTATTAAAACACCAAATAAATACAATCAATAACTACTGAAATACTACCTAGTAACTTCTGAAAAAACAACTAAAATTTAATCAGAGTCTTGGATTTACAATATTGTATTTTTTCACTGATTTCTTCATGCGCTTAATTTTCTTCCTTAAGACCTGATGATCCTGTTTTGAGACATACCGAAAATACCTACAGCCTAAAAAAGAAAACAAAATAAATAGTTTTAATACTTACCAAATTTTGTATTTCTACATTCTGAAAATTTTGCTTCAACACTAGCATACTAATGATTATGAAAATAGATTTGTATTATACCAATATATCATAAGCATATTCTAAGAGGTACCAACTATTAAAATGTATTACTATGAACATTTTAAGATGTTTCTGATCCTCTGGAATTAAAGCATATATTTTAGCTCAACCCCTGGTTATAGTAATATGCAAATTATATATATTATACATATTAAATACACCTTCTTCAAAAGCAAGCTATTGTAACCTCCCTCCAAACGTCAGCTTGTAAATCAGCCAGAGGGGCAACTATAACAAAAAAAGTTCTCCTTTGGAAATCTTTGTGTGCAGGATTGGAATAAACATATCCTGGGTGGGAAGACATCAAACATTTTCTGCTCCTTCCAGCCATCTTAGCAAGCAGCTGCATGGTGATCCTGAAGCTGACAAAGGGTCTAGCACTCATTAGAAGCGCTACCTGCTCTTCATGGTCTTACAATACAAAGAGGACCATTTGTCAAATACTTCTGAGAAATAAAATCATTTCTATAAGAAAAATGTAAACTTGACATTAAATAACCATAAACTACATCTGAAAATACATTTTCATTACATTCTCAATTTATTTCTGGAAAACTGCTTGGAAATATACTGTACCTTTAAGAACCATGTTATTGACCTGGCAAACAGTATGCCAGCATTTCTAACATCTTATTAGCTGGGAAGCAGAGATGTCTGCAGTATTCCTAAAATAATTTCTCTTTATGAACATGACACTACTTTTAGAAAAACAAAATACTTTTGTTTCTGCTTTTACCTATACAAAAATCTGGAAGGAGCTTTACTACCATCATAGCAAAAAAGAAAAGCCCATGGCCGCTGCCACGGCTCATTAGGTTAATCCTCCACCTGCGGCGCTGGCACACGGGGTTCTAGTCCTGGTTGGGGCGCCGGATTCTGTCCCGGTTGCCCTTCTTCCAGGCCAGCTCTCTGCTGTGGCCAGGGAGTGCAGTGGAGGATGGCCCAAGTGCTTGGGCCCTGCACCCCATGGGAGACCAGGAGAAGCACCTGGCTCCTGCCTTCGGATCAGCGCGGTGCGCCGGCCGCAGCAGCCATTGGGAAGTTAACCAAAGGAAAAGGTAGACCTTTCTCTCTGTCTGTCTCTCACTGTCTACTCTGCGTGTCCAAAAAAAAAAAAGCCCAATAAACTACAAAATTTTAACTTGTCTTAAGTCTACTAGAGAACTAAAGTCACAGGACAATCAAGAAGCCAGAATTCAAGGAGCAAAGGTCCCTCCAAGGAGAACCAGGCCTGGCTTGCCTTTAGCAGAGTTGGGGAAGAAAGGCAGGCACAAAGCAAAGGCAGACTACAACTATAATCTGAATTTGCTGAATGACAGGAACCAGAGCAAGCAGAGAACTCAGCTCAACTCCTAAGCAGTGTGACCCACCCCTGCAGGAACACCCTGACAGAAAAGATGTGTCTACTTTCAGGCATGAAGATGCCTGACAGTCATGAGACACTTTAGATTTATTAGGCACTTTGATGCAACCTTCACTTAATGGCCACAACAATGCTGTGAGCAAATGAGGATAGGTGTTCTGATGCCCACTTCACAGAGAAGTTTCCCAAACGGTCTCTGACCTAAGTTACGCAGCAAGTGAACCTAAGTCATTGGACATTGTATAGACACTAAAACCTGCAGTTACCTGTACTAGACAATTCTATACTCACAAAGTAGCAGAAATTAACAGTCCAAATCACACTTCTGTTCCTTACCATCAGTGTATCAGAGAGCAATTTTTAAGTTACTGACCAGTTTAATAATTCCTTTCTTCCATAAAGCAACATTTTTCCTAATCCTAGTAACTAACTGAAACAGTCACTGAGAACACTAATTCCAAAATAATACAAACCATACCCAAAAGCGAGCTAAAGAATCTCTCTCAGATAATATATGAGAAATATATAAAAATATCTTTTTTGTAGCTATTTAAACACCAAATAAATACAATCAATAACTATCTACTGAAATACTCCCCTATCGCAGATGGCTTTCTAGTGGCCATTGTCTGGTTTACTTTCCTCATTTCTGAACATATTTTGCAGTAGCTTCATTTTAGTACTTGGCTATCTTCATATTTCAGTGGCACAAAGCAGGTCACAGTTTTATCAGCCAAAATGTTCCATAAAGAAAAGATCAATTTCTTTTAAGAGGTATTCTTTCTCTGAAGGGGAGAAAATATTTCCTCCTTACAGGAACAGGTAAGTAAACACCATATAGTCCTACCGGATAACAATGAAGTCAATAAAGACCA